CCAGTAAGCTGGTGTGTGGTGGGCGTTCTGTCACAATATGGCTGCCGTCGCATCATCCGAGTAGATGCTGCACATTGGTGGTGCTTGAGGATATTCCCCCCTTCCACGTAAAAGCACTTTGAGTACCCAGAAAAGCGCTATATAAACGTAACGAATTAAATCATTATTATAAAATTTGTATTAAGTGTCCACAACACTTAACTACTATGTATAGTTTTAAATGAATCATTTGATACAATGCACGTATACATATTTAAATATACCTGCATGTAATTACATCTATAATTACACCAAACCTGTACCTAACCTTACCTGTATGCACCTCAATAGCAGCACAAGACTTTTGCACAATAAGTACACTGTACCTAATTATTATTATTATTTGATGTAAGTACATTGTAGTACACCCAATTTAAAATGGGACATGATGTTGTATTAGAATGATATAATCTGCACGCAGTTCATGAATTTATATTAATTTAGAGACCGCATGGAATATTTGTACTTGTAAAAATGCCCCAAAATGTTTGCAGCATCTCAAAAGATAATTTTTCCCTCATACCAGTATACACATTTCAACCATGTTACTGATCTTTTTTTCCCCCAACTATCTAGTAAAGTACCATCATGCACTGTTAATGGCACTCACTGAAGTGTTTAGTTTTGAGGTTAACACTTTGCCTAGAAGGTAAAGAAACTAGCTGACAAGTGGAGCTGACAAAAAAACTAAAAGTCCAGGGCAAAAACAAAAAAAGTCAATGGATGAATGGATGGTAGGAGGAGCCAGTGAGGAGCAGGAGCAGCCAGATGTTCCCAGGGCGGAGTCGAAGGCGGGAGTAGCCATGGGGCCGACTTGATGGGAGGTACCCTGGGGAAAACCGACGGAGATGCAGCCCTAAAAAAGATGGAGACACAGGTGGAGCCACTAAGCCCACGTGATGCTGATGGTCGTGGAGAACGAGGTGGAGCCGAGGCGACGAGCGTCCAAGGTGGAACCGAGGAATCAGAGGCCGAGCCGGTCGGATCGAGGATGAAGGCGGAGCCAGATGGAGCCGACGGTGCAGGAAGGTCGACGACTTACCACGGCGGAGTCGGAGGGACAAGGGAGCCCTGAGAAGCCGTATGGCCGATGGTTTCCGGTGAAGCCGAGGGAGGGAGGAGCCAGGGTGGAGCTGATGTGTCGACAGGCTGAGGTGGAGCGATGGGTACAGAGGCTGGAGGCGGAGACAGGGGATCCTCTGTGCTGGATGGAGCTGGTTGCCTGAAGATACTGGGCATGACTCCTTCCCACCTCCTCTCTGGTTCGGGCTCGTCCATCACGGCGGGCTGGTCTCCACGGTCTGCAGTGGGCACAGGTCTCTGGCAGCTCTGGAGTCGGAGCGGGGCTGGGGATTCTTCTTCAGCGGGGCAGACGGTGAACTGGGACTCGTTGCACACCAGCACCCACTCGACGAACTCAGCAAATGTGCCCCGAAGACTCACATCAGGCAGGCGAGCCTGGCAAAAAAAGAAAGCGCACAGGGAACGATCGGGCAAGTCCGTTAGGCTTGCCAGCAGGGTTTGAAATGAACACCTGCCAACCCGCCAAATGCGGTAAAAATCAACTGTGGCTGGTACTGCTGTCAAATCACTAGCCGATTTGGAGTGTTATTATATTTACTCACTTTGCCGGGGAAGTTTGTGTATTTTAGCGCAAATACTTTTTGTGCATATTGTGCAGCGTATTGTGCAAAATCTGCGCATATCTGGCTTACTTGAACATGCACGTCACCATACAATAAATAATGGCGCGCTTGTTCATTTACATTGAAGCAATAGCGACGATTAAAAAGCATTTGGTTAATAGAAAAGACATTGTTATTTTCCAACATCCTACATGTTATTTGTACTGTATTTGTACAGTATATGTACTTGTAATATATATATATATATATTAGGGCTGGGAAAAAATTAATCGTAATTAATCGCATCCAAAATAAAAGTTTTGTTTACATAATATATGTGTGTGTAGTGTGTATAATTATTTTGTATATATAAATACACACATATGCATGTATATATTTAAGAAATATTTGCATGTATATACTGTATATATATTTATACATCATTTATATTATATATAAATATACATATTTTTATATGAATAACACATTTTTCTTAAATATATACATGCATGTGTGTGTATTTATATATACAAAATAATTATACACACTACACACACATATTTTATGTAAACAAAACTTTTATTTTGGATGCGATTAATCACGATTAATTTTTTCCCAGCCCTAATATATATATATATATATATAAGCTGTGATGTATTTATTCAGGTTCATGTCCTTTTTTTTGGGGCTACTAGAAGTTCTGAGTGGACGTTAACTCAAATTTAGTATAGCCAAATTGGCCGGTGGGTAAAAAAGTTTATTTCAAACCCTGCTCGCCAGATAGAGAAATCCAGTACAACAGGTATCGGTTGGGTCCGTTCTTCTGGTACATTACATGGTATATTAGAAACTTGTACAACGAGGAATAATTCCAGGAAATAGACTTTAATCACAAACACTCAGGAACCAGGAGAAATGCAGGAGAAAACCACACAAACATCAACGAGAACGTACAGAGACTAAGGGATAACTGAGGGTTTAAATATACAGAGCAAACAAAGGAACGTAATCAGTAAATTAACAGGGCACATGTGAAAGACATAACTAATTAACCAGACTGGGGAAAACTAGGTCACAGGACTAAACCAAAAACACGATGATACTGGAGACAGACCATGTAACATATAGAGCATTGAAACCGTTACTCTTTAATAAAGATTATTAATTAAGTTTAATAATTGTAAGATTTAATCCAATTAATTTAATTTATTAGTATTTTCATAATTACTTTGTTAAATATATTGCGTCCAGTGGCGGCAGAGGTGTTCTGAAATGAGGAGGCAAAAATAAATCAAATGCAAATTCATGCCCCAGTAATACTTAAAGTTGTCACATTTTCCTGGTTAAATAAACATCACTTTACATTACATAAAAAAAGAAACCAAATACAATTCTATTTTGTATTTTCATATTACAAATGTAATTAATGTTCTATTTATTAAACCAAGTATAAATCTCATCAAGTTATTGTTTTAAGCATTTTTACATATATTCCAAAAATAATAACTAAAGGCAGTAACAACTTGTTTTCAGGCCATTTCAAGTTTGATTTTGACATGACAAAGCGGTGATATCCAAGTGGCTCACTTGGAGTTTTTTACTTACTTTTTAATACGTCTTCCCATTAACACAATAATTTTGTTCATTCAGACTGATTCACATTTATTGTGTGAACTAATCATAGCCAATGATAACCAATCACATCCAATAGCGCGATGGAGGCCTCTCACGTGACTTTCCCCCATTTATTCTCAATTACCCCCCACCAAAACTCAAAACCTAATGTTAAAAATCAATGGGCTCAGGGGAGGCACAAAAGATGCAGTGTCCCGCTGTAACTTTACCTGCGGGTCTAAAGTAACAGTGTTACATTAGAAAAACGAGTGATTCATACACTTTTTAATGTCACATTGTGTAATATTTGCGTTGTTTTATTTTTATGGATTATTTTCTCATCCTTTTTTGTGTGTGGAGGCACTGCCTCCCTTGCCTCTTTGGAGGAAACGCCCCTGATAGCGCCTAAGACATCTCACACTTTTCCCCAGGTTCTCTCCCAGTTCTCTGGTGTGGACTCAGCCGCTGTCCTCCACGCTGCTCTTCAACATCGATGGAAGTCACACAAATTAAAAATAATTGCATTTGATAAACTTTATTCTAGCTGGAAAATGACTTCGTCCCAAACTGAAAATTCTGTCATCATTTAGTCTCCCTCATGTTGTTCCAAACTCGTATAGATTTCCTTCTTCAGTTTGACACAAAAGAAGATATTTATATGTTTGTGAGATACTTTTATGGGGTCTAATGTTATTTGGACCAAGAAGTTCTTCAAAATATCTTCTTTCGCATTTTGCAGAAAAAAAGAATGATACACAGGTTTAGAGCGACATGAGGAGAATGAATAATGGCAGATTTCATGGTTGCAGGGTCAGTACCGAGCACACAATGTGTCTGGTCATTTACGATCACTGGGTGTTGGAATCCCCCCTGCGTCCCACTCGTGGCACAGATGCTGTTCGGGTGAACCATCCATTTATTAATTATCGGCACCATGCAATGCTTTGAAAGAATGTTAGGCACCTGGCAGACATAGAGCATTCCAACATTCACTTCTTAAAAAAAAATTGAGATCAGGTAAGAGTTTCTTGGAAAAAGAGGTTACACTTTATTTTAAGGTTTTTGTGTTACAGTGTAATTATACAATTAAGTACTGAGTAATAATAATGAACTAATGTATACTAGGGTTAAGGTTTGGTTTAGGTGCATGTAATTATGCATCATTTAAAGTTATTACAGTACTACAATAACTACATGTAGCATGTGTAGCAAGGACAATAAAGTGTACCCGAACAAGTCTTCACAAAAGACTTTCCTGTTTGTTGTAATAATTCATCAAATATGTCAAGCTCAATTAACACACAAATGATAGTGATCACATTCTACAGAACAATATTGTTTTGGCACAAAGAAAAAAAATATTGCTGACTGAAAAATCTGGTGTGCTGTGGTTATATTTGTAGTTAAGTCTTTTTTATTTAACATTTTCTGTTTTGTTAAACATGTGAAATAGAATTATTGATTATTATAAAATTATTAATTATTATTATTATTAAATTACTAATTGTTATTATTAAATAGAAATAGTCCAAGTCAATTCAAGTCAAGTATTATTAACTCATAAAGTGTGATTTATTAAAAGTCACTACACAAAAAAAAAAATATTACCAATATTTATTCAGTTATCTATTCAAAATAAAAGGATACTTTAGGAATTCCAAACTTACTGAGATGAAGTTGAAATAATGTAGCATGTATACATCTGTATGATAATAATCGAGAAAAAAACACGCATATTTGGGAAAGAAGTAACGGATTAAGTATAGGATTAAAAAAAACCCAGATATTTGTTGACCATTGATCACAGTATTAAATACATTTGAGATGAAGGTTTCACAATTTTCCACAGTAAAACATTCTTTACAAATTAAGATTTTTCTTTTTCTTTTATACAAATCCTTTTATATGTACAAATCCATGTTATTATGAAACAGCATAAAGATGCTTGTAGATGGTTTAAGGAAGGTGATGAGGAATATTCAGAACTTCTGGACAGTTACAGGATAGAGGAGGGGAACAGCGATGCCCTGGTCTGGTTTCTCAAAGGCACTTATCAAATTCTTGACTTTTCGGAACAAGCGTTTAGTCTGACCCGGTGCAGTCTGTCAAAAAAAATAAACGAATGAATAAATAAACGAACAAACAACTACAATAACAACAACATCAGTATAATCTATTTACAAGGACCCGGGAACTAGGGCAGATCAACTCAAATCTGTAAATCAGAGTCCAAATATACACGTGAGCACCCATATTTCTTTAATGTTATCTATATAAGATCTATAGCTATAATGTCACGCAGTCTCAAAATGAGATGTTGGCTTTATAGATGTTAGAGCTGAGAGATTTCCCTCTGTAAAATCACTTAAATCTCAGCCCAGCCAAACAATACGTTTCCACAGCTGTTTCATACCTCTATACATTTGAGTCATTCTCAGGAAAAACACAGTTTTGTAATGTTTTCCTCATCAATTACTACTGACAGATTTACACAATATCTAGTTACACATGGTACATATGTGTAATGCAGAAGAAACTATTTTTAAATGGTTGGTTTTCATTGGAAAATCAGCCAATTAGTGTCTCCAGCACTCATCATAATTTAGTTAAAAAAACAAAACAACCTCTACTTAAATTTAGCTGCGGTTAAAATACAAAAAGAAAATCTAAATGAACAGCAATGAAGGAGTTATAATTATCCGCCTAACTGTCGGCCTAACACATTTTCAAAAGTAGACAATTGTAAGACAATATATACAAAGCTAGAGTATTTTTAAAGCTAATCATATTTCAATAATAATATCTAATGTTGCAAATGAGGTTTGCTTTTGTGTTGTGCCTTTAAATGTATCATTTTGTTCTTGCGTTCAAGATCCTCACCTCAGCCGCCCAGGAGCCCGCTGTGTCTTTCTGGAGCCGGTACGTGTAGACAAAACCTTTACACCTGGTAGTGTGAGAAATCACAGATTAATAAAAGCAAAGGCCAATAAATAGAACTTGCCCGTTTTAAATTGTACGTGTGCAGTTAAAATGAAAATTTTGACTTAACAATTTGTAATTGTGAAATTTTTCGTTAACACGCTTGAAATGTGCTTAAAGCTGCAAAAAATGCAGAGATTTCTTGAGGACTTACAGGACACAGAGGCAGTAGGCTCCAGGAACGCTCTCACTGTCTCGAATTAAATAGCTCCCATCTTTGCCTGCTTCACACAGACGCATCTCACACATTTCTCGATTGATGGCCCCATGATAAACAGAAAGCGATTCCATTGTGCTGCATGCATTGTTTCTCAGGCAATCACTACCAGCAAGTGATATTTGTCCCTTGGGCAGGAAATGATGAAACAAGGCAGGAAATAAGCTCTTCGAAAAAATAAGACAATTTCTGCAACAATAGCAAATGCATGCAAAATGCCAGTGGAACATTAGTAAATGGTAATTTCAGTTCATCTAGAGTTCAACTGCCATGCAGATATCTGGATGTACTGCTGAAATTATACTTTACAAATTAGTGCTGCACAATGGTGTCATTCTTTTTTGTTTTTGAAATTGTTAATGTATGGAATGTACTGGAACACACGTACACTGCCATCCGACAATGGCATTATTACAGAACGGTGCAAAACAGAATTCAAAGAGCTCTTTATGTTTCACACAGTAGGTCCACACAATAAATCATTACAATTATATTGATTTTCAAGCTGTATTCAAACTGTACCTCAGAATTTATACAAAGGTCTATTAGAGTGGTTTTCAGTAATACAATAGGTCACAATTTAGACTCTGTAAACAACAACAACAACAAATAACAACAATTCTCAATGTTGAATGTTGAAGTTTCTTGTAGCTTGTTTGAGAGTTGTACACGTACAAGGTGGAAAAATGCTTCTGTATCCAGTACAGATTGCTGTCACAGAACATCCCTGTCACCACTACATCCTGTCTCTGCGTGTTTGTAAGTTTTTTTTTTTTTTTTTTTTTTTTTAGTGCGTGTATCTTTAGGTGAATGTTTTTGAAGTGTATATATACAAAGAAATAGATCTGCATAGTAAAAAAGACAATTTTATACTAATTATTTCATTTGAAGACATTTTTTTTTTTTTGAACTGATGTGGAAATGTAAATGAGTTAACAAGTCAACAAATCAGAGAATGTGGAATATACACTGAGAGTAAAAACACTGTGGAGATGTTATTGAAATGTATTATTTTGGGCTAAAAGGGGAAGTTTACTAAGAAAGAGACGTACGTCAGAGGCTGGTCGATGCCACCCCATCGGTGCCTGTTGTCCATTAAGTGTTAATACACAGGGTTGATGCTGCATGTTGCATCGATTTGGCCCCTGCTGTTATTATGATAAAAAAGAGGTTACATTGAACAAGATCCCTATGTGACTATGACAAGCAACTCAAAGAAGTAATATTCTGCTGAAGACAGTTTGGAATGAAATGAGAGTGAGTAAAAGATGGCTTCAAAAAAACTTTGAACTAGTATTCGGAAGACACCTTGCCAATTTAATCAACTTCTGATGCAAGGGGGCGCTACAACTTAAAGTTTTAGTTCACCCAAAAATGAAAATTATCCCATAATTTACTCATCCTCAAGCCATCTTAGTCAAGTCAAGTCACCTTCATTTATATAGCGCTTTTAACAATATAGATTGTTTCAAAGCAGCTTTACAGTGATAATAGGAAATTAAAGTAACAGAGATTGTTTGGGCTTTACAGCAGCTCTAGAGTAAAGTTATTGTCCAGCTAAAGTTAGTTTTGATTGATTCACTTCCGTCGCAACGATCATTAATTATTAACTTAGGAGGCGCTAACACGACACCGTTCCAACAGAAAACCCTTAATGCGATCCGGCCGCTCATTTGCAAAAAAAGGGCCTGGTGGCTCGAGAACGCAAACCATGAAATGTGTTCCAAGTTCCAAGGTTCTAGAAAAATTTATAATACATTTTTATTGCTTCCGCATAGCCACGTGAACCGGAATTATCCCGACAACGTTTTATCTGTACCGAGGTAAAGTGAAAGGAAGGAGGCCTTCACAGTTGACACTTCAGGACTGCGTTGTCGTCATGTCCAGGTGCAGGTCCTTCATCAGATCCGGATACGGCCTGGATCCGGCGGACTGCGGTAAACCTCGGGATAGACAGAGAGACTAATTTTAGCGTAGACGCCATCCTTCTAATGATGTAACAAGTACATCAGGATTTATGGGAAGTGTTCCCGGTTCCGGCTGACCTAATCTATGCAGCCTAACATTGAATTATAGAAGTCGATAATGTATTATGTGTATGCTAGGTCAAAGAGATTTGTTTATAGTCTAGATTTGAACTGACAGAGTGTGCCTGCTTCCCGGACAATGGTAGGAAGACTGTTCCAAAGTTGTGGTCCTAAATAGGAAAAGGATCTACCGCCAGCAGTCGATTTTGATATTCTAGGCATTATCAACTGGCCAGAATTTTGAGATCGCAATAGACGTGAAGAACTATAATGCGTTAAGAGCTCGCTCATGTACTGGGGCTTTAACCCTCTGGGGTCGGCAGTCTCGCCGGCGATACCAGCTCACTTTTTTCCTTATCAGTGCAAAAGAGACTCAAATTACTCTGTTAATTTTGATCTTACATATAAGTGTTGTACATCATTCGATCCTGTTAAGTTTGTATTTTTTTTGTGGAACCTCATAATAAAAACAAAGTGTTGTGCTTTTCGCCTAATAAAGAAAAATAAACATGATGCGCGTTCTGCGTTCTCTCTGTCAGTGAAGTCCATTCTGAAACGCGTCCGAAAAATCTTTGCTCTAACTCTGCAAATACTCAGTCAAACAGGTATACAGGCACACAGGCATGAAGCCTGAATTATCTTCTTTTAAATGAAGTAATTTATATAAAAAACAAATTTTTCTCATTTTATGTAATCTGTACGAAAAGAGAGAGAGGATAGTCGTTCTCGTCTCAGCTCATTACAGTTAATTTGACCACGCCCACGGAGCGCGCGCTCTATTCAAACACAAATGCTCTGAGGCGATCCACGCCCACATCAGCTGGATAACCACCGAAAGAGACTCATATTTACGACACTGTGAGGAATAATACTATCTTAATAATAATCCTGGAAAAAATTACCTCAGAAGTAGGCTACAGGTAGTTTCATTTGGAGCAGCAACGGATCCAGCCGAGGAAATAGGTACATTCTTTATTTTCAAGTGCTTTGTGCTAATCGCGATATGGAATAGTGTCTGTAAACAAAAAGACTGTTTGAATCGCGTTTTTGTGTGTGAATGAATGAACAGCTTTTACCTAACTATATTCCAATACTGAGATGAGTAAAAATCGACTGAAATATGTTGAAATAAAATATTTTTGTATAAGCAACGTATTAAACTGCAAATTAACATTTATATGTCCTAATCATAAAAACGATATGTTACATATGAAAGACAAGATGTCGTTTTTACTGTAAAATACTGCCACATCAAATAAGCTTGTTTGCTAAGATGTTATTATAGTGTTTGTTCGATTGTAGGCTATATTCAAACTAATTAATCCGCAACTGTGAAATATGTATGATAAAATGTATACTTTAGTATATAATACAAAGAAAGATTACATTTGAAATATAGTTAAAATTTTAATTGTTGTTGTAATTGTAACCTTTTTATTAAAACACAAAAATATATGTAGGCTACATATAAATAAATCTTAGGTAAATCTTAAAAGTTCAATATAAGCCTCCTCTTTAAATTATTTGTATTGTGTTTTATTAGTGACACATTTGGGATACATTCCCAAACTTTCTGTAAAAACAGTATGAGAATTAACTGCACAATTACTAGAAATTTTTACATTTGATATTATACAATTTGCAAGCACAATTTGAAAAATAAATAAATAATTGGAACTGTGAACCAATTTTGTATTATATAGGCATATATATATATATATATATTGTCATTGCATTCTTGTGGCTCAGTGACACACCTGAATGAAAGGGTCATTAGTATGCAGCCCAATTATGCGCTCATTATGCGGGCCCATTGTCTTCTCAGGTGTGAATCACAGCAGGTCACACCCCTGCGCATATTGCCTTTCCAAACAAAAAGTGTCATTTTTTTATTTAAACCAATCTATTGTTTTATGTGAATGATAAGGCAGGATGATTTTCAGATCATTTTGAAGAAAAAACTCTAGGCGACAACATCCATTAGTCAAAAGTCTTGTGGACACATATTTAGTATGCGTTTTGTGGCCTTATTTCAGAAACTTTAAGTTTTAGTTTTTTCAATAACCACGCATAAACAATATTCTCTCAAAAATACAAAAATGTACATACATGTTGATAACACATTATGGTAGCCCTGTTTGTGCTAAATAGAGTGTAATTACACCTTTGCCAGTAATATGTTTATAAGCAACTGAAAAAAGCACAAATGTCAGAGTATGTCAAAACATCTTAAGGACCCCAAAAACACCTTGGACCCCAGAGGGTTAAAAGGCAGCCAATGCAGTGTCGATAGAACCGGGCTGATATGGTCATACGTCCTGGTTCTGGTAAGAACTCGCGCAGCTGCGTTATGGACCAGCGGTAGTTTGTTTATTAAGCGTGCAGGGCAACCACCCAGTAGAGCATTACAATAATCTAGCCTTGAGGTCATGAACGCATGAACTAATTGTTCCACATTTGTCAATGAGAACATATGGCGTAATTTAGATATATATTTTAAGATGGAAAAATCCGGTTTTACAGATACTAGACACGTGACTTTCAAATGAAAGATTGGTAACAAAGAGCACACCCAGGAGCACACTATAGCAATGAATGAATCAAATTTTTCCTCAGGGAGACTACAATGCACTGCCTGATGCAATACTGTAGTAGATGGTTGCATAGTTATAATTTTCTCCCTAATATTATCAATCTTGTAACTAAAGAAGTTCATAAAGTCATTACTGCTGTGCTGCTTGGAAATGTCTGGGGTTGAAGCTTTATTTTTCCTTAATTTAGATGAGTGTGAGTAATTAATGACAGAGTTTTCATTTTTGGGCGAATTATCCCTTTAACTTTTTGCCTTGTTTGTTCTGTGTATGATTTTATACTAGACTAGTTGCATGTTTGTGATTTTACGCATACCGAAAGTGTTTTGCAGACTATTTTCCAGAAATCATTGTTTGTTATCAAGAGATCTTCTCTCTATTGATTTTACTGGCAGTGAGTTTGTGTGCGTATTTTTTGTCTCAAATTTGGATTTCTTGATAATATTAGTTTTGGTATTTGTCTAAATGTCTGCCCTAGTGAAAATAGTATTTGAAATATA